AACAAAACAAAACAAAACAAAAATCGAAAAGGAAAAGGAAAAGAAAAAGATAAAATTTATCCTGAAAAAATTAGGGTAATTTTTAAAAACAAAGATTTCCCAAGGTAAACTAGAAAACGAAATCAAATCAAAGTCTTACAGATCTTCCAAAAAAGAAAAAAGGTCTTTCCCAAGGTAAACTAGAAAAAAATCAAAGTCTTAAAGATTAAAACGAAAACAACAACAACAACGAAAAAATATACAAAAACGATAGAAATAAAAATAATAAAAAAAGAAGAAGAAAAGGAAACTAATCACAAAAAAAGTTGAATTGAATTGAAAAAATGTGATCCAAATATTTCAAAAATTTTCCATACGAGGGCGATCAAGCATGTTCGTTCAAGAATCAGATCAGAATATCATGCGCTGTTTCCCTGTGGTCCGTTCGTAGAGTCGCAGAAGTTCCGATCATCCTACTTATCAACATGTGTTCGTAATGTAACTATCATACATGCTAAAGATAGAATATTGATCATAACTCGTGCTGATTATGATAATGATGCCAGTCGGTTTGTTAAGGTAGAACCCTTTGCAGTAATTTCCAAAAAAAGCTGGCCGATTTGGAGGACAAAATAATAAATTTCAGATTTTAGGGTTCGCTGTAGACACCTATTTCAAAAAGCATTGTCATCACCAAAGGCAATAGGCGATAGGTCATTCCGAGATGGAAATGGTTTCGTTGAATACAAAGAACATTGAATCAGTCTCAACACTAAGGTCAATGTTCTTGACGAGAATAAGAAGCAGAAACACAAGTCATTCCAGCTATTCTTGGATCTTAGAATGACCTATCTCCTATTGCTTTTCGCCTATCGCCTATCTCCTTTGACGAATACAACTTTTTTTGAAATAGCTGTGTATAGATCCAGTCATCATAGGCGTAATGTTTTCCTATCACAGACCAAGTGTCATTCTCTTGAGAATAAGATTCTTTGTTTGAGTTGTATCCATATTCATGTTCTTCAAGTGCACAGTCGTGAAACAAAGAAATAATGCTCTAGGGAATGACATGACATTTGAAATGGAAACTCCTACAAATGGCACATTTGCGTAATGTTTATTTCGCGTAATGTTTATCTGTAGTAATGTAATCTCGGATGATCATAATATTTCGATTAACAATGTAATCTCGTTAATATTTTTGGGTGGGTCATTTGTTAGTCTCCCGCACAGCCGCTTTCAGTGTCGTCACGCGCGGAGAAAGCATTGCGTGACGACACTGAAAGCGGCTGTGGGGGAGACTAGTCATTTGTATGCTTGTATAAGTATATGGCCGTTTGTAAAGGTACTCTGTTGCGGTTTGAATAGTGGATCGGTCTGTCTTTTTTTAAGCGGTTTGTCGTGTCACTTTGTAATGTAATAACGTATGAACGAGATTTTTAGGTGTTTCACAGATACAACAAAAGCCTCATTTGGTGCACGACAGCGTAAAAGAAAAAAAATACTGTTATTACACATGGGACTTTGACATGTTTCTGTTTATATGAATAATACATTTTTCGAAAGGGTTTATTAACATCGTTCTACTCGCTTTGAAATTCTCATCCGCTAATTAATATCATCACGTGACTTGTTCCTCCATTTTGACGATTAAATTAACCAACGACAATTGCTTTATTGCCAACGGCTAAGTGTACAATAATTCCTATATTAACTTCCAAAGGTGTCCAGGTTTAGTTTTTAATTTTCAGCTTCTTTTAATCAAATTAACCCGCTTTTAATGTCAAAACATTCCTGTGAAATATTCTTAGGGACGAATTATTTACTTTGCTATGAATTTGTTCAGATTTTTATATCTTACCTGGTGCTTGATTCGTTGGCTGATCTGCTGTTGTTGTCTGGCTTCCTAAAGACATCAGACAAAGTAACGCATTAAGATTAGAGGATTAGGGTTTTTACTGTAATAGGTTTAGTCACGTGTTTTTGGCCTGGCGTTAAACAAAAGATCTGGCTCACAGTTTTGAGTATTAATTAACCAACATGGTGGCCAACTGTTTTGCCGTCAATTATGCAAGACTACAACTTCGGCGATGGGAACTTGGTAAATACGACTATTTTTTTTCAATTCCAAAAAAAAAAATCTTTATTCTTTGTAGTCCAATAAGAGTCGCTGACGCGTCGTAACTGCTCTTGTGACAGCCATTATCGTACTCTCTCGTCTTTCAGTTCGCCTTTCAAAGCATGCGTATTGATAAATACCGCTGAAATCTTGGTACTACTTACTCATCATAGCAGCATCATCAATAGTGCTATCTAACTGGTTATCACTTGTTGGCAATTGTTGTTCATATTGAGGAGCGACCTCCTGAGCAGGCGCATCCATGTTATCGTTCTGGTTCAGGAGTTCTAATGGCACATCGCTCTTTTGCTGAGGGATGTTAGGGTTGAAGAGTGGTTGGGGGATACCAAAACGAGCAGCGGACGAGGCTTGGGGCGTCTTTGGGGCTGAGACAAATAATTAGAACATTTTTACTTCATGTAGTATGATTTAGTCCACAAATATGTGTGTAACCGATTGCGAAGAGAGGTGAGGTGGGACAGATTTTATCAGTACAGCTAGAAAAATATCTCAAAAGAAAACCCTCGAATAAAGGGGAAAGACCTAACAAACGTTAGAGGCGAGGTGGGAGACGAGTGCACTAGCGCTATAACAACCATGAGTTCTCAGCGGTGTATTTCTTAATCTAAGAAATCTTACGAGTTTTTTCTTGGTAGAAAGATGTAACGACTTACCTTTAGGAATAGCATTCTTCTTGGCTGCCTCATTAGATATCTGCGAGTTCTTGAATAAGATAATTGGATTGGAATGAGAGCGTGGTGCAAGTGATGCTCCAGGTCTGGACTCAATGGGCTGCATAGACTGCCCAGCCTTCATGTGACGAACATACTGGAATGGATCCTTAACATCAGACTTCTTGTCCTCATCATCAGCTTCATCCTCCTTCTTGGGTTTGTCTTCTTTTTTTGGTTCTTCTTTTGCCTTTGGTTTGGGCTTTTGGACTTCGGACTTGGCAACACCGCTTTGTTGTGCAGTGTAGTAGTTCTACAGTAAATGAATCAAAGTATTGCAATTGGTGTTTATTTTTCCTAAATCTGCTAACACACATAATTAAAACTATTTGCTTTAGGCAAAGAAGATCTGTATTTTTGTGTTCCGTTTTTGCGGCCGAACGTTTTGATTCCACTTCTGACACCATTACAATCACTTATCCAATCCTCAATTCTCTACTTTCACATTCCCATAATACTTTGCGTCTTTGGGCGGTAACCAGAGGGTAAAAACCTACTCATTTTGCTGAAGTCTAATCAGGCAATGTTGACATTACCTCGTTTGTTATCCAAAKATAAAATGAAGAAGTAAAAGACAGAAAAAAGATAGAAGCTTGAAGACGTTTAAGGTAAATTTTAACCATTTTTTCGTAAGTCAATACATTTTCTGTAAGACCAAAACTCTTGATGATCACACGCAAAAATAACTTGGAATAAACTGATTATCAGCATTGTACAGATAAAAGCAGGTAGAGTATAAATTCAATTAAGAAACCTTTCAATTTGGGACAGTTTTTTGATTGGTTACCCCCCAAAGACGCAAGTCATTATGGGGATGTGAAAGTAGAGAATGAACCTTTATTAAAATCTTGTTGGTTACCTGTGGATAGTTATAAGCAGGTTGTTGATAATACTGTGCATATGGAGTAGTTCCTGGCTGTGGCAGTGGTGGGACCTCACTTCTTGGCTCCTCCATTGGGAAACCCATCTTTTCCAGCAACTCATTTGCAGGAGGCATTGGAATGTTTGTTCGCTTGGTAGCTTTGTACTCAGCATCTTGAGCGGCATCTTTAATAGCCTCACCAAGCATTCGCAAGGCAGTGGACTTGTAGGCATCGACGGCTTTAGCAATGACCCTGAGGTCAATGCGTGGGTATATTTGAGCGGCTGGCTGTTGTTGAACGATGACCCTCGGGACTGGGATTTCACTGTATTTTGTTTTAGGGGCAACAACCTCTGGTTTATCCTGCTCTGTCTTGCTTACAGTGCCTGTGGCCAGATCTATGTGTATAAATAAATATTAAGTCATGCTTGCAATATGCCAAAAGGAAGAGCACTCTACATACATATAGGGAGTTCCCCAATAATCTACCTTCCGTCCACTTTCCTAAGAAATATTAGGACGAAAAATATGAATCGATGCTTTCCAATAAAGACAAAATAATTTGGGAGTTCTCCAATGATCTACCTTTGGGCCACTTTCTTAAGAAATATTAGGAAGATGAATATAAGTTAATGCTTTCCAAAAGAGATAACATTATGATTAGGGAGTTCTTCAAGGATCTACCTTCGGACCTCTTTCTGAAGAAAATTTAGGACGTTATAGAGTACACTCTTGTTTATTATCCATCATCATAGAGATTTTTACCTTCAGCGAGGTTAGCACCCGAGGCAGACCCAAAGTCCTCTGAAGCCTGACCAGATCCAGACTCAACCACTTCAGGGGCCTGTTCCTTCTTTGCTGGAGGAACCACTGGAAGGCTCTCAGATGGTGTGTCTGATTCTCCCTTGATCATATTAGCACCGGAAGCAGAGGCAGACCATAAGTCACTTGCACTTGCTAAACCAGAGCCTGATTCACCCACAACCTTATCACCTGGTGAAGGAATACCAGACTTTCTCCAGATAGGCAGTTCGTTATCTTACGAGGGGCATGCAAAGATTACAGAGAGAATATACAGCATTAGTTAAGAAGTAGATTAACATACGGCGTTGAAATTTTAGTTCGTTGCCTTACGAGGGGCATGCAAAGATTACAGAGAGAATATAGCATTAGTTAAGACTTAGTTAGATTATCATACTGCTTTGACTTTTAATTATTTTAGTTTATTTTTTATTTTTGAGAGGTTAATCTGAGCGACAAAGCGATTCACTCCACGCGTTAAAGACATTAAATAAATTATTAGTGTTAACACTTCTTTGAATCATTCTTGCTTCCGCTATTTTTTTCTTTATCTCTCTCTCTCTCTCTCTCTCTCTCTCTCTCTCTTTCTCTCTCTTACTTTTTGTTTGCTTGTTTGTATTTTCGATTTCTTTCTGAATTCCTTAATAGCAAAATATAGCAAACAATTAAGCTGAAAGATTTAGTAGATGTCAGAATTACATATTATTTTCAATGTTTAACAGTAAAAATTACTTTGAAATTATATTCCCAAAAGTCACTTTAATGGACAGTTGGATGGTCACTTTGAAGATAGCGGTTATTATGTTTTACGACTTTGGACCCCTTGCGTTTGACGTCAAAGGAGCTCAGTTTGGAAGACAAAAAAAAAATCAATCTCCTGAGAATTGGAAACCTATTGTTTTGCCCTCCAAATTGAGCTGCATTCCGACGTGCTGCAAGTTGTTTATCACGCTATGTTAGGATATCATCATTAGAGAGCTTATGCATCGCGTTTATGGCAAAGGCGGTTGGAAATGAAAAATTATTATCTAATGAATGAATCAACAGTCAGAATCAGAATGAATCTCTCTGCTCTAGAGCATTACATAGCACTAAAGATGTCTTTATAACATAAGCTTTGCAGTGATTGGTTAATATATAGCAGGTATTACACGGTGGCGCGAAGATGTGAAGTTTATCTTCAAGTGATGAAATATTTTACAACACGAGAAGATAAACTTCACATCTTCAAGCCGATGCATAATTTTCTTTTTATTATATAGACACATTCACAAACAAAAACTTGTTGAAAACATTGGAAAAGACGTCATCGATATCTTCACTAGTGAGGATATGGAAAATATAAGAGGTCCCGGATGTAGTCGGTATGAGAAATACGAGTGGCGTATTTCCCAGTAAAACACTAATGTCTTTATAATAAAAGTATGCATGATATAAAAGTGTTACCTTCGTCGTTCCACATAGCAGAACCAGAGGCCGATGAATCAGCCAATGATGAACCAGAACTCTCAGACGAGCTACCGGATGCTGAACTTTCATCTTTAACTTCTACAAATATTATAACACAAAAACAAGGATTACAAGAATATTCTCAAGTGATGTAAATATTGAAATGTAATATGGTACTTACTGCAGAATCCACAAGACTTTTTGCATTGCACCTTCATGAGATCAACGTAATTCTCGCAGTATTTGTTCTTAGCCATGTCCGGGCATGAATCGTACATGTCGTCACATTCGTCTGGATTAAGAAAGATTATTTTATATGTTATTAACATGATATGATCTGTATTGGTGGTGACCCTGATGGTAATTTTTTACCTTCCTTGAGGGTGACCTTCTTGGCTTTAAGTCCCTGGAAAACCGGCACGCTTTGCATTCCTGCAATTGGCATTCCTGTTTGTGGATCCACTGGCTGACCTACCATGGAAGGATCTAGAACATCATAAAATATGTATAAGTAAAGCGACAAATTTCCCTTAGTTGACTACATTATCTTTCAGATCCAATTGAAAGAGCAGAAAATACATTGATATTGGAAATTACGTATTAAAATAAAATCTTGGCTCATCGTTCGAGTTCTCAGGAGATCAGTGGTTAGAGCGACTGAGACCGGAAGGTCGTGGGTTCGATTCCCATCTGGTGCTCAGAATTTTCCCTGCCTTCCATGTCTCTGCACTATTCCCTATATATTTGGAATGACGCATATTAGAAAATCCTTGTAGAACTTTCTAGAACATTCCAGAAGTTTCCTAAGCGATGTATACAAGATAAAGCTAGATGTGTTGGCATGCATACCTCCATAAGGATTAGCAGGAGCATAAGGCTGCTGCTGATCTTGCGTCATGGCTTGATCCGTGGCAGGAGGAACCTGATCTTGGTAAGCCCCAGCTGCAGCCTGCTGCTGCGAAGGGTCCTGGTATTGACCAGTATAAGCTTGTGCCTGGCCCTGCATGGAAGGGTCTGATGTATAAGGCTGTGGTGCTGCTGCAGGCTGTTGTGGTGCCTGTGCCACGTCTTGTTGTGGTTGCATTGCAAATTGAGACATGTCTGGCTGTGGTTGCTGTATTGCTGGTTGTGGCATGTCTTGTTGAGGCTGCATAGCCATCTGGGCTGCCATGTCTTGTTGTGGTTGTTGCACTAGTTGTGCTTGGTCTAACTGCTGTGGCTGGTCGTTCTGTGGTGTATTGGTATCTGTTGTCAAGGGGGCAAGACCACCCTGTTCGTCTGGTGAGGGTACTATCACTGATTTGGCTGTAGCTGCAACAAAACATAAAAATATTTCCTCAAAAAATATTTCAGCTTCATATATGGCTATACAGTCCTTTAAAAAAAACGTCGTTGACCGGCTTCGCGAGTACGCGACTATTTTGAAAAGGAGTGTGGGTAGAATAACTGAAGTGTTAGCTGCATATATTATTAGCTACGTCTTACATTTTATACGCATATAACATTTCGATATGGTGTTTTTTCACACTGATAATTCAAACCACTGCTCGCTATCCCATACCGATCTCTTGTGACATATCGGCGAACTTGCAATCGTAAATAGCGTTCACATATTACTTAACTCAAAGATAACCAGGACATTCAAGCAGTTTAGTTGTCGTACTGGTTGTTTACCAATAAATAAATGCATAAACACATATGGTTATACCATTTGCAATATAGCATATACATCACTTAATGCACAGCACTGCGCCATGCATAAGCCGCATTTTATTTTACATTTTTTTTCCTCAATGCATTTACGGCTCATATTACGACTTCGTTTTTCGCTCGCGCAATACATATCAGTTGAGAATAGGGAATGATAGATAAACATAAAGTGCAGTGAGTGTTTAAACTATCAATTGATTGATCTTTTTCTCAAGGTTGCACACTCTTTCAAATTTAAGAAACCTGACGGGTCACGATACCAGAACAGGAGCCTATAATAAGAATTATCATACATTTTTCGCTAAGAATTCATAACATCGATTATTCTCCTCTTTGAATATAAAACTGTCTTCTTAATTTTACTGAATTTGCGTTTTTCAGTTTTGTGGCCCGTCAAGATTGGATGCGCACGCAACCTTGAGAAAACGGCCTATTGTTCTGTACTGACTAGTCTAGTGTTCACGTGGAAACATAAAAGCGTTTTCACATGCATGTGAGACTAGTCAGTAAAGAACAATAGTTATTCCAATTAGTCGGCATATTTCGATTCGGTGTTTAATCTTGCAATACTTTTATCAGCTATTCACAGCACAATACTTATTTTCGTATGCAGGTTATGAATGTTGCGTGATGTGACGATCAGCTGATGTTTGCTACACGTAAAGCGCTATAGTCTATGGTATTCATTGGTTCATCAGCAACAGGTATGATATATTTATGACCTTAGGTTTTTCATATTTCCATTTGCTCTATGTAGCCTCCAGATTCTCGAGTCCTGAAACAACCTCTAGGCTGTTCAATGTAGTGCATTGTGTTTAGGGCTGTTGTACGTATTATCGAAGTGTGTGCCAATAGTGCTTGATTTCACTAGACGTTATTTACTATCTCGTGCGCAGTATTAATCAGACGGATTGCAAGTTTTCAATTTAATTCTTCCTGGCTGACAGCACATGGTGGTCAGTTTTTAACCACGGCATTCGGAGAAAATAATGAGATTCAAAGACCAATCAGCTGATTGCAATAGGATTGCTTATGGTTTAGTATTTAACCACGGCATTAGGAGAAAATAATGAGATTCAAAGCCTTATATCAGCTGATTGCAATTGGATTGCATGGGATTTAGTATTTAACCACGGCATTAGGAGAAAATAATGAGATTCAAAGCCTTATATCAGCTGATTGCAATTGGATTGCATGGGNTGGATTGCATGGGATTTAGTATTTAACCACGGCATTAGGAGAAAATAATGAGATTCAAAGCCTTATATCAGCTGATTGCAATTGGATTGCATGGGGTTTAGTATTTAACCACGGCATTAGGAGAAATTAATGAGATTGAAAAACTCATATCAGTTGACTGCAATTCGTTCACCACATGCAAATAACACAGGTATCAACCCCCTCACCTGTGACGTCGTTCGGTTTGGGCACATCGTCCTTCTTGACAATAGTCGCGTCATACATGTTCTTCTCGTCAAAAGCTTTGGCCTTGGGCGCCGCTGTTGAATCACGAACATCATTACCACCCTCTTCTACTTGGTCTGTCACGGTCTGCGTTTCCGCAGGTATAAACGAGGATTTTTTCGCGTTCTCGTCTTCGTGCGTCATGCTGTCATCTTTGGTCTCTACGGTCTCGTCCTCAGTCTTCGTCTGCGTCTTCGTTGGCGCAGCAGTCTGGGCGCTAGGCTCAGCACTAGAGCCAGATCCAGATCCAACGTCTGCGGTCGACTGGTCGGTTGCTAATTCGACAGCAGTGGCAGTATCGCTACTAGATGGTGCGTTATGTGTCGTATCAGTCTTAATCGCATTGTCGCTGTTGAGCGTATTCGGTCCGTCTCCGGACATCGACCACATGCCGGACCCGGAAGCCGAAGCATCGTCGGCATTGTCAAGCGTTTGTTTATTTAAACTAGTCACAGTCGGGTCATTGAATAGTTGGACTAGAAGTGGATCTGGCGCTGTTCGGCGGTTAACTCTTGTTGCAGTTCGTAAGTCTGAAATTTGTCGCGTCAGTCAAAGTTCAATTAGTATAATTAGCAGAATATATGTAAAAATTAGCGTTATTAGGTAAATAATAATGATTAGCATATTAATAAAGCCCCCTTATTATTTACTAGTTAGATCGATTTTTGGTTTAGCTAACTACTCAGGCCCACGTGCATAAAACAAGTTAAAATATTATTAATTATATATTAAACTAATATGTTAGTCGTTTTCATTGATTCATTAGCTTTGTTGATGTTAGTTCTAAATATTCATTTTTTCCGGAAAATATTGCTTAATTACGATGTTAAAACCTTGGATAACCGTGTCTTTCCTTTTCAATATACATAACGCAAAATGGATTACTAGGGGTCTTTGTCACGCAACGAAGCGTTACTATAGAACAGAGCCATTAGATGTAACGTCGGCATGCTGTAATGTTATACACTGTAGATAGTATATCAGTTGTAGTACGTTGCATCTTGTAACAATAAGTGTGTCACGTAGAGTGTTTTGTTACGTGTATCGTTAGTTATTCGTAAAATAGCATAGTAACGCAATAATAAAGAAAGTCACATGTCACAGGTCAGGTCACGCACTTTAAGACTAGTAAATAAGTTGTCAGTTAAGAAAACCAGTATAAACCTGATAAAATAATCATGCGACTACAAAATAAGCAGCAATTTCCTACATTTCCACTTAAAATATCAAAAGAAGACTGTCAAAGAGAAGCCTTCGCAAAGAATTGTGATTTAGATTTATGGAATCAAGATGGCGGTCTATATCCCATAACTCATTGCGGTCTCGTTACCAGTTTCCCTCAGCACTCTCGCAAATTAAGCAAATGTAATTGAATTCAATTAAGGGGAGATTGCTAAAGTCATGGCATTTATAGTCTCCCTCGCATCCGTTTTTAGTGTCGGTCGTCACGCAACGCTCATTTACGTTGCAAAAAACTTAAATAAAAACGAAGCTATTTCTTTTTGAAATCAATTTGTAATAATCAGATATGCCAAATAGACCTTTTCCGGATTCGCTTGGGTAACCACGAAACAATGGTTTGAAGTCGAGACTGAACTCGATTCTTTTATTCATCAAGTTCAACCTTGACTTAAAACCATTGTTTCGTGATCAGTGAAGCTAATTCGGGAAAGGCCTATTTGATGTTATTCTGCGAGTTAGATTTCACTTAGTATTTTTTTGTTTGGATGATATTTTATGATGTGACAAGTACCAGTATCACACAATAACCAAAACAACACCCATCAATAGGTAAATAACACGCTTATTGACTTCGAACATGAACAACATCGAAAATAATCCACCTGAGTAGATTTTCCCCGTAGCGCCGAAAATTCGAATACGAATACTCTAAGTTTAAAGAACAAAAACTTTATCAAATGAATAAAAAATTTAAATTTTGATGGTAACTAAACATCGTTCTCATAATGGCTGATGAGCGCACGAAAACGAGGTCACCCAGTTATCTTGCAGGCTGAGGAAGGCTGCTCGTTGAAAATAAAGGTGGATAGCGCGAATTCAGGTCCAAACAAAAGCTACATTTCTTTAACTTTTCTTCTATAAACACATTTCTTTTTTCTTTTAGTGATCGGTTGACCTCGTTTCGTGCACGTGTCAGCCATTATGGGAGTGCCGTATAGTAATACGAGTTGTCAAAGAACAAAAGAGGTGACCTTTCATCCCTTCCCTGGGAAGTAAATGATATTTTTTATGAATCCGATACGAAGCCCTGATTTAGGATCTCTTTATCCTCGTCTAACATAGATATATTCATATTACAGAATATTATTATTATGCGATACACTCACCTCGAGAACTTGCAAAAGGGACAAGCGCTACGAGCAATAATAAAAAACCAACACCCATTTTCTGTAAAAAAGAAGCCTGAAAAATAACCAAAAAAAAAAAATTAGTAAGAATAAGATTTGGAATATTATGGAGTCGTGTCAAAGAGATGGACTAACCCCTTTTTGTGGAAACCATATACCCGTGAAATAGTAAGTACTATGGATCTAGCGTAAAGGGTATGCAATGACTCATTTGTTTCGTGCTTTCGGCACTTCGTGCGTGGTTTATTACTGATCAAAGGTTTCAAAGGTTTTTATTTTTCCACACACGAAAAAGCAAAGAATTACAAATAGAACTTAAGAAAGAAGTGGAAAGGTGCAGAAGGAACAACCCAAAAGGGGTTAACTAAGAAAGATCCTGCACGGAAAAGAGCACGGAAAAGCTGTTTTAAAACTTAACTTCTTCTACATACCACCATGTTTTGTTATTTGAAGGAATATTATTGCTACACAATAATGTGTTAATAGCGTTATCTATTTTCTTAATTCTTCAAGAAAGTTAGAGATCCCCGTCAAAATGCTAGGGTGCTTTTGGAATTCTTTCGGGTTCATTACATATCTTATAACTAGCTACTTTCCTTTGCCAGGTTAGTCAGACATTGATATCATAAGTAGCTGAAGTATATTTACAAAAACACAGATGCACATGAACCAGTCGAGACCAAAGAAGACGATAATGAGTACGCAAAGGCGCTTGGGAAAGCCCTGGATCAACCTTGATGATGATAAACCTAATTTTGGATCTTTATTTCATCTGTTGTATTTAACCGCAGTAAAATATTCTTATTACAAAAAAAAATGGCTTAAAATATATCAAGATTGTACTTTTAAACAAAATCTATAGAAAATCAATAGTAAAATTTGTAGAATTTACAAAGAAAGCTGTTTCACGAACCGAAAATATTGTCTATCCATGAGTAGATGAAGATGTTATCATAGAAAAGGCTAGTATCCCTTGGTCTCATTCTATCAAACTTTATATTCGCAATATGAACGAAGAAGAAAATTAATATCAGCGATTTTTAAAAAAATAAGGAAAATGAGAGGTCAAGTCTCGATCTGCAAGAGATACCAAAAAAGTTTTATCAAGAAGGCTTAAGAATATGGACTAAGCAAAGCCACAATACGAAACGAATAAAAAAAAGGGGTAGAAAAACTTTAAATTTTCAACCTTTTGTTACGCCTCTATTGCAATAAGTGAAATTAAAATTTACTTCCATCATAGATTGTCTCCCTATATTGACTGGTGTATTAGATAGGACTATTGGTATGCAATAATAGTTGCCCAAAACATTTCCAAAATAATCCCTAAAAATATATCCGTCTAATAAACTGCATAAAAAATTTCATCCGAGACCATAAAGGACTAAAAAGACCTAAAAGAAAAAAGGACCTAAAAGATATAAATTATACTATTTTTTTTCCTTTTGCGATTTCCCCCCTCTTCTTGTGATGGACTCTTGGCAAGCTTTGCTGGCATTTCATTTCGCGCTTGTTTGAACTTTAAAATGACAGGATTTCCCGTCCACTTCGTCACTGTCAGACGTTCGTGGATAAAGGTTCTATTCTGGAGCGGAGATCGGTGTTTGAAATTTTAGCTTTTTTTATCAGGTTATTTGTCGTTTTTCGAGGCTTCAAACACGATCTTCTCTCCCGGGACAGACGGGGCAAACATTGATTATCGACACTTACCCGTTGATCGGGGCAAACTGCAGGAATCTCAGGCGGTTACGTCAATTCACACAAGCACAGAAACGATTTTTATCTGTCGATATTCATGTAATTTTCTCGTTTGGTCAAACTTAGGGAGAAATTCTCCCAGTTCCTTTGGTATTTTTCCTTCGCTTCGCCACCGAGGGAATTACGAATCTTCTTGGCTAAGTTTTCATTACCACATCGGGAATGCATGTGATGAGATAATGCTATCGCCTTGGATTGCTGGTACAATTAATCATGCATGACACTCAGATATGTCCTACGATAGGGTTCACTAGACCCTTGACTCTCGCATTAACAGCTTCTCCAAGGATCTAACAAATTCTCTACCAAAAAAAAAAAAAAAAGAGAGAAAAAGCAAAAGCATATTTCTCAAGTCTATTTATTAACTTCCATGTTGAACCGTCTTCACTGAGACGAAAATGAAATGCAAAGGTACAAGTACCGAATCTTGTCATTCATGATATCACAGTCATATTTTCGTAAATAAACTGATTCAATTTTATAAATCTAGTAATAAGTTGTTACACTATTAACATATTACGCCAAATGCAAATCCCTTTTTCGCAGATTATTTTTTCTTTTCTGGAGTCGTTTTAATAACGGTTTCTGTTTTCTGATTTGCAAGGTATTTCCAAGGTATTTAATTTTTCATACCGTTACCTAAACAATCTAGAATTCTAAACAATGGACCACAAGCTGTTTGACACTAGAAAACCATCCCAGCCAATCACAAGACAGGAAAATAAATGGTGTTTTGAGTTGTCAAAAGGGGGCAACAGCAACATAGCTCTTGTGTTATAAATGGCTGGAAACTAAATCGGGGTGTTTTTCTTTGGCACGAATTGAAATTTTGATAAATTTTTTAAGTTATGTAAAATTTAGTTAATTTTGGGCTGGGATTTATGCATATAATTGAAACGCTGTCATTTCTTCCTTGGCATATTTGCCTAAATTTGAAGTTCCTCCATTTACAGGGAAATTCTGATGACATTTTTGATAGAGTAACTAACCATTTGACCTTTCAATTGTCTACTCTTTCCTCTCTCTCTCTCTCTCTCTCTCTCTCTCTCTCTCTCTCATTTTATTCTGCAATTTTTAGATAAAGCCTATTGAATATCGGAGTCATAAAATTTCAAATTTCATCCAAATGTTTCCAAACATTTCGGCGAAGATAATAATAAAGACTGGAAAAAAAAAACTGGTTGCTTAACCATAATTTTTATACTATATTTAAATAGTTACTTTTAGCTATATCTTATTTGATTTTACTGTGCTTGAACGAATTAAAAACGTTTTTCGTTTTTAAAAATAGAGCACGTTAGGTCATGGCCGCCATCTTGGTTGACGATAACAAAGCATTCCTGATTAACTTCTCTTGTTAGATCAACCAAGATGGCGGCTGTTTCATTGTTATCCATATCTCTAGGGATTTGGAGTCATTTGGTTGCACGCAAAGTATTTCATATGAAAAAAAAATTTTCAATCTCCAGTGTTAAGTTTTAGTGGCATTTGCGTGACATCGAGTTACGTTACCAAAGTAACGCATCAGAACTATGTCACACAAGGTTAGACACCAGGAGAGAGATCAGCAAACATTCAAGGATCTAAAGGTGAAATTTAGATCATAATCAGTTAGTCGTTTTACTGCTAACTGCACGAAAAATACGATTCCAGATTATTACAGCAACTCAAGGTATTACGTCATATGGACCGTCTTTCAACGGAATTTTCACGAATGATCTCAATCGATGTAGGAATAAAAATTCATCTATTATTATCTAGTATTTTTACCGCTACCTTGTACATGCGATATGAGACTTACTTGAACGTAACAAGCTGTAAAGTATGGAGGGAATGGATAAGTATACGTTTTCATCGCTTTCTTGTATTTCACTTTAATTACCTTTCACAAACTTTCTTACTGCACATAAATATTCTTTTGTTTTTCTACTACTTTGATATTTTTTACAATACCTTTTTAAGTAATTGAAAAGAATTGTTCACTGGCCAACTGACGTTTGCCGCGAACGTAAATCTAAAAGTCTCTAATATGAGCAGTACAACCCGGGGGGGGGGGGAATACTCTTGCCCGTTTAGGGTAGGGATGTGCCGCTGAGCCCTCTGAACCCTGACCCTGTTCCAGAGTAAAATCGCTGAAATTCATACCCTGTTCCAGAGCAAGGTCGCTGAAAACCTTGTTCCAGAGAGGAGAGAGCGTGATTTCATATGCCCTGTCCCAGAGCGAGCGCGATTTTATATACCCTGTTCCACAGTAGAATCGCTGAAAACCATACCCTGTTTAGAAGAAAAAAAGAAAGAAAGAAAAGGAGCGAGAGCTTGAGTAGGTCACCCATCCAGGTACTAACCGCGCTCAACCGGACTTGACTCAGACGTATATACAAATACCTACATTTTATCCACTGGACCACGGTTCCAGGTGAATCAGCATAACAATAGCCGTGAAAACAATGCACCCAATAGACTAGACTTTTTAACATTATACTTTCAACCGATTCCGTGCGTGGCAGAGATGCAAGGGATTAGCCGATATGGTCTGGGGGCCGGCTGGTCTCTCCCCTGATGCTTCGGCTAGAACATTTTCTTGCGTAATTCGTACACCCAAGGGCAGAAGGATTTAATCGCCGTCAGGTCCGAAGTCCATACGACGCCTCAGCTCTGCGGATGTCTCGGGGGTATGGCAAAGTTGAATCGAAGTTACGTGTTTTTTTTTTGTCGAGGTTCAAATCTCAACGTATTCACATGAGATTTTTTTGTACTTTTAGCATTTTTTAAACAAAATCAAGCAAAAAGATAAATAAATAAATAAATAAATAAAATAAAATAAAAAATAACTGAAGTTTTCTAACGTTTGCTTGAAAAAATTGATGACATACGTTGTTACTTTATTCGGGTTATTTTTAATATAATGTATTTACAAATAAACTAATGCTTTAGTTATAAATTCTCCTTCCGTTTGAGAGCTAGGTTTGAAATGTTTTTTTAGCGACCTTCACAACTCCTACTCTTTAGGCCTTTAGCTTTCTTTAGGTTGGGTATTTGTACCGGAAGCAGCCTTCAAAAATCGCCCTAACAGATTCTATAAATGAGTAATTTTCAGGAAATCGTTTTCTTTTTTACAGAGAATGTAGACTAAATAGGTCAGGGTCCTCTTTACAGCATAAATAAGCCAGTTTGATGGCCTCCGGTTGCTTTATTCTTTTCTAAACCCATAACAAGCCTGATCGGACAGGAAATACGTCTTTCCAAGTTGTTCCTGAAGTCATAACCACAAGTATTTGAAATGGAAAAAAAGCACATGATTGTAGCACAAAAATCAAGTCTTCCACAATTTCCACTGTGTCCATAAATATCTCTCTATTGATTCCTCGTTATTTGAACATCATCTCCAATACCAATAGTATTTTGATTCTATAAAGTGAATTTATAATTATTGCACTGCGTCCGGCACTTGCATTCTTGTTTCACTGCAAAGCTGAAAGTAATAAAATAAGATAATATTAGAGGTATTGATGGTAACGCACTATCATTTGAAAGAGCAGGAACTTGTCGATAAATTGAATCACCGTAGAAAGCTTTGTGAATCGTAAGTACTTACTCCGACGAAAGACTAACGTCCGAAACGTCAGTTCCACAAAGCTTTTTGCAGTGATTCAATTTATCCACAAGTTCCTGCTGCTTTATTCAGAAACACCGACGCAGTCCACATTAGTATTCTGCTAGTTATCACCACTCACTATCGTTTGAGTTGATTGTACAATCGTAAGACCGTCAGCACACATCCTCTATTTAGC